CACACACACACACACACACACACACACACACACACACACACACACACTCTGCCGTGGCCAGCACTGGATGCATCATCTTGTAAACAGACAAGCAGTGGTCTACTAGGCTTAAAGAGACACTTGCAGGTTTTGCCATCCGCTCTCTCACTCGTTTCTGAGGTAATCAGAGCAAACACCCTCAAAGTCACAGTCAGGCAAGCTCCTTTAAGGCAATCCACAAGCTTTCTGGAAAATTCAGATCTATCAAGTTTTTTCACCCAGAAATTAATGTCTTCTCTCTGCCGGTGGATGTTGCTCTAGCAATGCCCTCCGCTGCTCACTGCCATTCTGAGGACCGTGTTCATCTAGAGTGTGTACCATGTTTTTTTCTATCCTCTGTGCTCTTCATCGACTAACAGCACTCTCATTAGTCACATCCACAAAATTAATTTTTCATCGGTGTGTTCTGTTCCTCGGGAGGTGGGGAAGAAAGAGGCAGTAGTTATTACTCAATGGGATTTTATTTCTGCCAGGTCCAGATTACAAAGAATTAGACGTTCACCTTCGAAGGATGGAGTCTGGATTTGGCTTCAGAATCCTCGGGGGAGATGAACCTGGACAGCCTGTAAGTTGAATCCACTTTATTTGCACACATGACTGTTTTGTGTATAAATGCCAGGGAAAGAATCGTTCAGTGTGGCATTGAACCTAAGAAGGTTGCTGTTTGTTTCCATTTTTTCTATTTCCCGTTAACAATACCTCACAAAATACAAGCATGGTCATGGCCATTATCTCACCATTAATCCCACTGGGAGGGATGCTACTGTCTCTAAGAATGGACAGGTTCTCTTGAGTGCTTCGATTCTTTAATAGTTCTGGAACGTGGGATTCTCTAAGAGGCAGTCATAAAATAAGATGGAAGAGGTGGCTGGAAACTACAGAATTATGAATGTTTGCAACAACAACAACAAAAAACAGTAAGGGATAAAAAACACAAGGTAAATAGAGGTAAAACCATGCTCTCTACTACAATATCTAAACCAGATTGAATTAAGGCATTATGAAAAGAATATGTTCATGAAGTCAACAGCGAATGAGAGAATACTGAGGATTTGAGAATGGTTCTGTAGTAATCTTTATGTTAATAGATACATATAGTCATATGAATATACATGTTCAGAATGAAAGCATAAGCTAGCAACCTTAATTGAGATACAGAAAACACAGTTAACATGAATTTGTGAGCTCATATTAAAATATTCTCTCAGAAAGACTCATTGTAGAGATGTATCTTAAATGGTGCTCAAGGAAATGACAGTCCGGTAAAAGTACATCCCATCCTAGTTTGTATAAGAGGCTGAACAGTAAGCCCCAGTTTGCCCATCTGCAAGATGAAGGTAATGAGAGTAACTGTCCCCTAGAATGGCTTTAAGGCACAAAGATGATATAAGCTAAAATTCTTGGTGCCTGGGTAAATAAGAACTTCTAAATAAGTAAGATCACCAGCCTTGTCTACCATCATATTAGTACATTGTTTCCCAAAAGAAATATAAAACTGATCATCAGAAATTTCCAGAAGAAAAAAAAAATCAGTCTGACAAAAGAAAGGAACCCATAAAAATGAAAACTGCCCCCAAGTAGATGGCCTTTGTATAGAGCAAGTTCCTTCACTCTGGAGACATTCAAGCAGAGTCACTGAGAGTCTGACAAGAATCCTGGAGACACTTCTGCCCCACAAAAGGGGCTCCACTAGGTAATCTATGAGGTCTCTTACTGCAGAAAACTCTGGGGAAAATGTTTTCTAATTCCCAGGAACAAAATAGGCAACAATTTCCCAGCATGCCCCTAAGCCTCCAGCTGCCAAGGAAGACAGGAAGATGGGAAGACTCATTGGCCAAAGACTGGTCCCGCTTTGCCTCAGTGTTCAGAAGGGGAGAGGATGACCAGATAATGAAGCCCTAAGGAACTTCAGACTTACTAGAGGGACTTAGTCATGGGGACTCAGTTAAGAATTTTGCATTCACTTGCTCCCCTCCACAGCTGCATGCCTTGACCTCCTTGTCACCTGGTTCTGAGATCCTTAGACACATGACCAGCCCCCCTCCAGCCTCATTCCCCTCAACCGCTTGTTTCGTATGCAAATGAGAGAAGTGCCATGGAGCTTCTTCCTCTATGTCAATATCGACTACGTTGATTATACCTCCAAGCTCCTGACCTCTACAGGGTGTTTGTGTGACTTGGCTTCCTTCAGAATTGCTCAGACCTGTTCATGTGGTCACACATTTGGTTTGATCCATAGAATTTCTATTCATTCTAAGCAAGGATTTCATCTTCTCATTTTATGTCTTATTCCACAAATGAACGTTGTGCCATTCACCAGAAGTGACCCGTAACTGAGGTTAAAGTCATCATCTGGCCAAGTTCACCCAAGACTCCTTCCATCAACTGAAATGCCTTGCTAAACTACGAAGTAAAGAGAAGAGTGCCTAAAACTGTGTCCGCTTTCGACCCAGCTGTAGATATGGAGGTCCCTGGTGTGTGAGCATCACAGTATACACACTGAGTTCTGTCAAAGTCCAGTGAATCACACACACACAGCACATGAAGTAGGCTGGCTGCTTACAGATAGCCAGCAAGGGGCAATCAGAGCTGAAGAATCACTGGGTGCCAGCCTCCTTTGGCTCACCAAAGTTTTCCAGAACAGGTGAAGCCTCAGCTGCCCACAGCTGTGGAACCCCCAAAGCAGCCCACTGTGGGTTTTACACTCTGAAATAACAGGACTGTCCAGACTAAAGAACATTCTGTTTTTAGGACCAAGGGAAACATAGCCCAGGCTATCCCAGCCAGTCCTCCTTATCTCAGGGTATTTTACTCTCAGAACATTCAACAGTTTTTTTTTTCTTAAAAACTACAAAAAGGAAGTGGGATAACGGTGTCGGTCTGAAGCTCCTGGAGAACTGCCCTGAATACCCACAGCCATCCTCACCCTTGGTAATTCACCAAAACAACCAAGAACTCAAAAACGTGTTATAGTTGTAGCTTTATTATGCTAAAAGAATGGGCGTGAGAACCATCCAAAAGAAAAGATGTCTACAACCAAGTCAGGAAAAAAAAAATCAAATGTAAAGTCTTACATATTCTCACAGCCATTTTGCCAGTTATGGATGTTCAGCCAAACTCGGGTGACTGGTGTTTTTATTAAGGTTTCATACATGGGCACACATAATTGAATCATCCGCTCCGTGGTCAAATTCTGTCTCTGGTGCCCTCTTTGCCAAAGTCAGACTAATATCATATGCCTCAAAGGCCCAACCCTGTATTTACCAGCCTCCTGAGGTTGTTAGCATGGCTGGCTAATCCTGAGTTATCTCTTCAATCTAAACCATGTCAGATATGGTCCAAGGAGTTCACCATGGAAAATAAAGACATTCTGTTTCAAAAGTTACTCTCAGGGAACTTTTGAACCAGGGACTGTGACCAGGCCTCTCTTTGGACCGAGGTAAAATTATTTAGAATAAAACCACAGGCTTAAAAGATACCAAATATAAGAAACCATACCCATAATAAAATACCGCTATAAGTTAAGTCATAGTTTTCTCTGCAATAGTGGCCACTGCAGGGCACATATGGACAAACCAGATAGAACCCACCATGCTCAGGCTGCTTGCTATACCAACCTCCAGAGTTCTTTCCAGATAAACGTGTTCTCTATTCCAGAATACACTGACTGACATGCTTTTGTTTGGCAAACCAAACCGTGAGTTTACTCTTAGAGTCACCATAGAGACAGCCAGATACTATTATTGCCAACTGTACTTCAGTAGGGTATTGGGGAAATGTTTCAATTAGAAATAACCATGCCTGGACTCTGCTATACCATGCTCATTGACTATGGCACACCATTATGCCAAGGCTATGTTCTACCATGCTCATTGGCTATGGGATACCACTATGCCTTGGTTATGTTGTACTATACTCATTGGGTATGGTATACCACGAAGCAAAGCTCCACGAGCTTCTTGAAGACAGGAACTGTGATTTGATTGGGATTTTGTCTTTCAAGTGGACAGAGAACCTGGGACAACATGTATGTGTGAAGTGGAACTGAAGAAAGTACTTAGCCTCAAGACAAAACCGAAAGTTCCAGAATGAGCTGGTTCATACTGAGGCCTCTAGAAAAATGGTAGTGGCCTTGTCCTAGAAGAGAGAGGCAGTTCCAGCAGCACAGGGGCATGCTGGCTCTCTCTCACTCATTATCTTTTACACTGTTGAGCACTAATTCCCTTTTCTTTTTTTTTTTAAGTGTGATTGCTATTTTCCTTGAAAAACAGATCTGATGACATTTCCATTATGACAACTGGCTGAAGCCAATTAAGGCCGAGCATGACCGTAGTTCCAAAACCTCCCTTGATGCCTTTATTACTCATTAACTCAACTATTTTTGAAACTATCATTCAAGACAGTTGGACTGAAAGAAAGTAGGAGGGTGAATACTTTATATCAAAGGAGCATCCAACCTGGGCCAGATTGTGGTTTCTGTATTTTCTAAGCACTGACAATATTACAATATTGTCGTTTTAATTTGGCAGAGCCTTAGAGGCATTCTCCTATGGATAAATATGCATGTATTAAACTATAAAATGAACATAAGGCAAAACAACAATGTTCCAGTTCATCACATGCTATGGATTTGGATATCTGCTGGACCCCTGGCTTATGACTATGACTATTGTTTGGGAGATACACCAGTGCCCCAGTTAGCAAATATCACCCTCCTCTATTCCCTTCTCCAGAGGTAGATGGGCTTGCCTGGGTCGTGGGATATGTGTAGATTTGGCAAGCTCGAGAAGGGAGCCGGATAGCCTGTGAGTCACAACCTACAGGTCGTGACCCCTGTGAGTATCAACTATAAGACACCCTGCCTATCAGATATGTCAGTAACAGGTAGTCCACTCCAAGAAAAAAAAAAATCTCCCATCAGCCTGTCCTTCCTGCTTCTCTCCATGCTAAGCTCAGAGATAACCTACAAACCCATTGCCTCGTGTAATTGCTGGTGTGTTACAGAGGTTGATATCAACATTACAGTTCATAGCAGTTATGAAGCAGCACCAAAGTAACCTTGTGAGTGGGGGTCACCATAACACGAGGAAATGTATTAAAGAGACACAACATTAGAAAGGTTGAGAACCACTGTTCTAGATTTAGTCCAACACAAAAGCAATAAAACTGGCTAGCGGACTGGAAGACATACTGCGCTGAGTCCAGATGCAGTGTGAATGCACACGGTCCCCGCTTGGGCTCAGGACATCCCTCTGCCCATTTGTATGCCGGTTCCCAGCTTCCAAGCCCTTGTGAACTTAGGTCCTTTCATTCCTAAATCCTCTCTCCCCTTTAGCATAGCAGGTAGGCATCAAGTGTTTATGATGAGCCTCAGGTTACATGGATTTCTGGTTATCTTTATTGTTCTTATTGAGATGTATCCCTTGATTTAAATGATTTTGGACCCTCCTGCTGCCGTTCCAATTTTGGCAATAAAGTAGAAGCCTATCTCACCCTAATGCAGGAAAGGCTCAAGAGTGGGCCTTCCAAACCAGAAGGCTGCACCTCAGAGAATGACTGTGAACA